CAGACCCATGTTTCTCTCCCTCTCTCGCTCTCAAATCAATTTTTTTTTTTAAGTGAGACTATATCAATTCACTGGAAGGGGGAGCAGACTTTCTAGGCTTAAAAGGCACAAGATAAATCCCAATAGGGAAGATGGATATGTTAGTTCATACGAAACAAAAAACCGCAGGTTAAGAAAAAAAAGTGCAATTTGCCCAGCCCCTGTGGCTCAGTGGTCGAACATCGGCCTATGAACCAAGAGGTTACGGTTCAGTTCCCGGTACGTGCCCAGGTTTCAGGCTTGATCCCTAACGTGCAGCACGCAGGAGGCAGCTGTTTCAATGATTCTCTCTCATCACCGATATTTCTCTCTCTCTCTCTCTCTCTCTCTCTCTCTCTCTCTCTCTCTCTTTCTCTCTCTCTCTTCCTCTCTGAAATCAATAAAAAAATATATATTTTTTTAAAAAGTGAAATTAAAAGTAGTCAGTTAATTGGGAGATGAGTCCAGCCAAGTGCAATATACAAAGGGTTGGTATCGTTCGTGTGTGAAAGTTCTTACAAAGACACTGGCCTTACAGGACGACAGTAAACAGACAGTACGGTGACGGAAACAAGTGAGGACGTCATGCTGTGATCAGAGAAGTCATATACCATTTTTTAATGACTAAATTAGGATGGTTTTCCTTGTCCTTTTTTAAAATTTTTTTTAAGAAATGCCAAATACTGTTGGGGATGAAATAGGCTTGTCATGCATAGTGGTAGAGTATAGATTTTTTTTCTAGTTTTTTATTTTTATTTTAAGAAAAGTGATATTAACTATAATAATGTTACATGCAATAAACATTAATATCTCAAGAAAAATGATTTTACATATGGCAATGTTGCATGCAATAAACACCAATTATTCAAGAAAAATGAACTTACATATAATAATATTACATGCTATAAACATTATTATTTTAAGAATAAAAGGATTGTAAGTGTAATAGTATTACCAAAACTGTACTAACATAGTATGATATCACAAAAGTTATAGGAAATATTAAAAATCTGCAAATAACAGGATTATTTCTTTTATATTCTAGAATATTTTCTCCCCCTCTGGCTCTATTTTTTGTCATCAGTTTATGTTGTTCATTGTATTCCACAAATGAGTGAGGTCATATGATATTTATCTTTCTCCGACTGGCTTATTTCGCTTAGCATAATGCTTTTAAAGTCTATTTTGTCGCACATGAGTATTGCTACTCCAACTTTTGTTCGTTACCATTTTCATGGAAAATTTTTTTTCATCCCTTCACTTTCATCCCGTGTGTGTTTTTGTTTTGAGGTGAGTCTCTTGTAGACAGCATATAGTTGGGTCATGTTTTTGTGTCCATTCAGCTACCCTACACCTTTTGATTGGAGCATTTATTCCATTTACATTTAGGGTTATTATTGAGAGGTACTTATTTATAGCCATTTTAATTCTGTATGGCTAAGTTTCTCTCTGTGTGTTTCTTCTTCTCAGCAATCCCTTACAGCAATCCCTTTAGCATTTCCTGTAATGCTGGCTTGGTGGTGATGAACTCCTTTAGCCTCTTTTGGTCTGGGAGTTATCTGACCGTCTATTTTGAATGATAGCCTTGCTGAATATAATAATCGTGGTTTCAAATCCTTGCTTTCCATTACCTTGAGTACTTCATGCCATTCCCTTCTGGCCTGTAGAGTTTCTGATGAGAAATCAGGTGTCCGCCTTATGGGAACTCCTTTGTAGGTAACAGTTTTCTTTTCTCTTGCGGTCTTTAAGATTCTCTCTTTGTCTTTAATTTTTGGCATTTTTATTATGATGTGTCTGGGTGTGGGTCTGTTTGGGTTCTTCTTGTTTGGGGTTCTCTGTGCCTCCTGAACTTGTGTGACTTTTTCCTTTACCAGGTTAAGGAAGTTTTCTATCATTATTTCTTCAAACACCTTCTCTATTCCTTTCTTCCTTGCTGTCTCTTCTGGCACACCTACTATTCTAATATTGTTACATTTCACATTGTCCCACAGCTCCCTTAAGCTATCCTCCTGTTTTTTAATTGTTTTTTTCTTTTTGGTTCTCTAATTTAGTGATATTTTCAACTCTGTCTTCTGATTCACTGATTTGATCCTCTGCTGTGTATTCCTTCCAATGTATTCTTTATTTGTGTTATGTCATTCTTTATCTCAGACTATTTTTTTCATAGTTACTATATCTTTTTTCATACTGTAGAGCATTTTTAACATTATTACTCTGAACTCTGATTCAGATAAATTTCTTATCTCTGCTTTATTTATCTCGTCTTCTAGTTCTTGCATTTGGGGGTTGTTTCTTTGTCTCCTCATTTTTGTTGTCTGTTTGGGTTTGTAACTATGTATTAGGTAGATCCTCTATACCTCTCAATCTCTAGTGCAGGACAGTGTTAAAGGTTGTTTCTGTCTAACTGGATCAGGCTAAGACTCAAAGCCTCCAGAGACCACTTCTGTCTACAGACTAATAGGATTCAGAGTTGAATTGCCCCCAGGCAAACATCCTCAGGTGTGGTGAGAGATTTTTCAACAGGGTGGGGCAGTTGCTTCTGCCTGGAGGCTAATTGTTACTTTTAATCTATTAAGTGGCCTCAGGTCAAGGTGTTTTTCAAGAGGGCGTGTCGATTGTCTTCCCCCCAGGCAAGGCAGATGTCTATGTGGGAAAGATGTCCTCCGTGTGTGAGGGAATGGCTCAGACCAGGAAACTTGAGGTGTCTGCCTTCTGAGCTCTATCCCCAGAGTCCCCACTTCTGGGTACTGCTCTCACACTTCACCCTCCCTCTGCCAAAGCACAAAATGGGTGGCTCCACAGTGTATTTAGTGTGTTGGCCCTTTAAGAGGGTGCCTGAATTTTCAGCCATCTCTCCCTCTCAGACAGCACCCCACTGCTTTTCACAGCTAGATGTCATGTGGGTACCCTCCTCAGTTTGGTGCTCTCTGCTGGAGAGCCCAGCTTCAGGATTATATCCCAGAGTTCTCAGTGGCACCCCCACCCCTACAGCTGAGATATCTCTCTGGGACTTCAGTTGCCATCTGTGGGTGCCCAACCAGCCCTTTTGCGCCTCTGTCCCTCATACCAGTCTCTATGCAGACTCTACCTTGAGTCCTTGGGGATCAGGGTTCTCTCCTGTGAGTTTTCTGTTGATTATTCAGGAAGACTTTCCATATTTCAGTTGTAATTCCAGCTTGTTTCTGGGAGCATGTCTGTGCAGCATCCGCCTACTCTGCCACCATTTTTAATCCAACCCCTGCCCCATTTCTATTATTTTTTTCAGTAGAGCATAGATTTGCACAGGGATGTTATCAAGGAGCTTTAAAACACAGAGGCCTTAAGTCAGTGGTTCTCAACTTTCCTAATGCCACAGCCATTTAATACAGTTCCTCACGTTGTGGTGACCCCCAACCATAAAATTATTTTCATTGCTACTTCATAACTGTAATTTTGCTACTGTTATGAATCATAATGTAAATATCTGATATGCAGGATGTATTTTCATTGTTACAAATTGAACATAATTAAAGCATAGTGATTAATCACAAAAAACAATATGTAATTATATATGTGTTTTCTTTTTTTTAAAATGTATTTTATTGATTTTTTACAAAGAGGAAGAGAGGGGGATAGAGTTAGAAACATCGATTAGCTGCCTTTTACTTGGTTGCCTTTTACTGCAACCAAGGTACATGCCCTTTGACTGGAATCGAACCTGGGACCCTTCAGTCCGCAGGCTGATGCTCTATCCACTGAGCCAAACTGGTTAGGGAATATATGTGTTTTCTGATGGTCTTAGGCGACCCCTGTGAAAGTGTCGTTCGACCCCCAGAGAGGTCTCGACCCACAGGTTGAGAACCGCTGCCTTAAGTGATGGCCTGGCCTAATCATTAGGGAAATGCAAATGGAAACCTTAGTGAGATAGCACTTCACACCAATTCGGAAGGCCACTATCCAATTAAACTACAATTAGTGCCCAGGCCAGAATGGCTCCATGGTTGGAGACTCCACCTTTGGATCAAAAGGTCTCAGGATTGATACCCAGTCAAGGGCATATTACTCAGCTGTGGGATTGATGCCCAGGTCCCATCAGGGTGTGTGCAGGTGAAAGTCAATTGATCCTCTCCCTCCCTATAACTCTTTCTGAAAATTAATGAAAAAAATATACTCCCCTGATATTTTTTTAAAAAAGAAGTCAGTTCTGACACATACTCCAACGTAGATAATGACCTATCAGGACATGATGCTACATGAAATCAGCCAGGCTAAAGAGACAAATTCTGTAGAATTCCACTTTAATGAGGCGGTCAAATTCACAGGGACAGAAACTGGAATGTTAGCATCCAGAGACTGGGGGAGAGGGAAGGCAGAGTTAGGATGTTTAATGGGTACAGAGGTTCAGTTTAGCAAAATGAAAAAAAGGGGAAGGAGCTTATGGAAGGATGAATATGTACTCTGGGTTGAGCATAAACCTAGAAACCAGGAGGTCACGGTTTGATTTAGGGTACGGGAACCTGCCTGGGTCGCGGGCGCCATCCCTAATGTGGGGCATGCAGGAGAGAGCCAACCAATGATTCTCTTACCATTAATCTCTCTCTTTCTCTCTCTCTCTCTCTCTCTCTCTCTCTCTCTCTCTCTCTCTCTCCCTCTCTCTCTCTCTCTCTCTCTGCCTTATCTTTCCTTTCTGAGGATATTATTTTAAAAAATATATAAATGAAATTCATAATGATGATAAAAATAAATAAATTAACAACCATGTCCAGTTTCTCAGTGGTTGGAGCATCAGCCCACGGATCAAAAGGTTGAGGGTTCAAATTCCGTTCAAAGGCACATACCTCCATGGTGGATTTGACCCCCAGCTTCCAGGCAGGATATGTGTGGGAGGCAACCAACTCTCTCTCCCTCTCTCTCTCTCTCTCTCTCTCTCTCTCTCAGCCTCTCTCTCGCTCTCCCAAAGCTCCCTAAAAATCAATGGAAAAAATTCCTCTGGAGAGGATTAACAAACAAAAACTTAAAAATTAAATAAAATAACCTAATGGTCCAGCAGTGCCACTTCTGGGTATATACACACAGAAATGGAAAGCAGGGTCCCGAAGAGCTATTTGGGCACCTGTGTTCACATCTCAGATGGAAGCAGCCACTGAGGAATGTGCATGGATAGATGGATAAGAAGCAAAATGGAGCCTAGACATGAACCAGGAATAGTGTTCAGCTTTAAAAAAGGAAGGAAATTCTGACACGTGCTCCCAACATGGATGATGACCTTTGAGGATATAAGGTCTCATGACATCAGCCAGGCCCGAAAAGGCAAGTTCTGCAGAATTCCACTTTAATGAGGTGGTCAACTTGACAGAGACAGAAAGTGGAATGTTGGTGTCCAGGGACTTGGGGGAGAAGGAAGGGAGAGTTCGGGTGTTACATGGGTTCAGAGGTTCCGTTTAGCAAGATGGAAAGCGGGGAGGGAGCCTTATGGAGGGGTGGCCATGTGTTTCAGCCCCCCAGAGAAGAGAAGGCCGAGAACAAGGAGCCATTGCATCTGACCGCTCTGTCCCCTGGGCAGGAGGCATAGAGGACCTCTCATCTCATCAAACAAAGCAAGGAGACGCAGTCCCACACACCCCGAGTCCTGGCAGACAAGTGCCGGGACCCATATTCAATCAGAATTGTGCTCCACCCTGGGGGTGGGGGGAGGGGAAGGGACAAGAGCAGGGAGAGCGAAATGTGGGTGACCCCTCCCACAAGGTCATAGCGCCTGACCCCTGTCTTGCTCCGGACTTGGGCTGTGCCCTCTTGACCTGTGAGAGCCGTGGCTTCCTCCCCTTGGCCCAGAGGCAGGCACGGTTGTCGGGTGACTCTGGGGCACTCAGGGGCCTGGCACAGGGAGAACTGAGCAGAGGATGGGGCCCACCCTCTGAACTCAGAGCTCCCTCCTGTTGACTCGGTCCCGAGGGAGCTCTGGGATTCTAGAAGCCAGTCACTCCAGAGAAGATCGGATTAAGTAGGGTGGGAGAAGATGTGATCAAGTACAGTAGTATTCATTGGCTGAGCGAGTTAATCTGCTTGGAGGCGGGGCTTTCCGCCAGTATAAGAGCTGAGGGCACCTGGCCTTGGCTTCCAGACACCAGAGCCCAGGAGAGCAGGACCATGTCAGCACCCAGGGGAAGTGAAGCAGTGCGAGCTCCAGCCCTCCTGAGGGCCACGGCACCGAGCTGGTTTCCTCCCGGCCATCTGCAAGCTCAAGAGGCCGAGCTGAATGCCTCCTGTCCTGCCGCCATTCTGGTGCCTCTCCCTCTCTGCCAGGGACCCTGCCATCAGCCTGTTGGCCCCGGCGGCCTGCTCCCGGTGCCCGCCACATACAGCTGGGCCCCCAAATACCTCCTCACCCAGCCAGCGTCTGTGAGGAGAGGCCTGGCCCCCCACACCGGGCTACCCACCACCCAGGAGCTGTGTGACCTGCTGCGGAGAGCACACCAGGCTCCCATGAAGTCAGCCAGCCTGCCACAGGCTGCCCAGCAGCCGGCCCCGAAGCCCCGCTCCATGCACCTCTCAGCCGCCAGAGACAAGAGGAGGATTGCCCGCGTCCCCGTGCCCTGCCTGGGTGAAGGTGCCAAGAGGCGCCTCCTGGCCAGCAGCAGCAGCAGCAGCAGCCGCCCGCCTTCCAAAAACCAGGGGCTGGGCAGCCAGCTCCCAGAGGCACCCGCCCCATCGGGCCAGGCGTCCATGGCCACCAGCCCCGTGCCCCCAAAGCGCCTGGCCCGCGGCCCACCTGTGCAGACTTCTCAGAAGCCTGTTCCTCCAACACAGTGTGGGGGCAAAGTGCCCGCCATCACCCCTCAACGCCGTCTCCGCCTCTTTATGGACGAGGGCCTCAAGTTCTGCTCCTCCACCCAGGAAGCCACAGGGAAGGAACTGAAGGAGGAGAAGGCGGCCGACCACCACAGCCCCAGCAAGAGGATGGACCGGGAAGTGGCCGCCAACACCTTCCACAAGATGCAGGGCCTGGAACCCGGCCCTGGAGCCGGTCTCCACAAGACCCGGGACAGAGGGGCTGTGTCCCAGGAGGTGGTGCCGGGGGGCAAGTTGGCCGCCCAGACCAGCTTCCCGCTCCCGCGCCCGCACAGCCCCCACGGGGAGGATCCTGTGCCAGGGGCCATCCTGTACCAGCGCCTCAAGGAGCACCTGCTCACCCAGGCCCAGCTCAAGGAGAACGGCTACCCCTTTGCACACCCCACACTGCCGGGGGGCGCTGTCCTCTTCACCGCCCAGGAGAAGCCGCCCCAAGACGCCTCCTGCAGGCTGTGCTGCCGCTGTGGCACCCAGTACCTCGTGGCCCCCTCGGGCCGCTGTGTGCGCCAGGAAGAATGTCGCTACCACTGGGGGCGGCTGCGCCCCACTCCAGCGGCTGGGGGCTGGCAGATTCAGTACACGTGCTGCTCGGCCCCCATCGGCTCCCCTGGCTGCCAGGTGGCCCAGCACCACGTGCATGGCGGCCGCCAGCAGGACTTGCAGGGCTTCATGCAGACCTTGGACAAAGAGCTGCCCCCAGGGGTTCACCCCGGCATCTACGCCCTGGACTGTGAGATGTGCTACACCACCTCTGGCCTGGAGCTGACCCGCGTCAGCGTGGTGGACAGCGCCCTGCGGCTGGTGTACGACACCTTCGTCAGGCCGGACCGCGACATCGTCGACTATAACACCAGGTTTTCCGGAGTCACCGCGGCTGACCTGGCCCGCACCAGCGCCTCCATCCGGGACGTCCAGGCCGCCCTGCTGACGCTCTTCAACGCCCGCACCATCCTCACCGGACACAGCCTGCAGAGCGACCTGCTGGCCTTGAAGCTCATCCACGGCACCGTGCTGGACACATCGGTGCTCTTCCCGCACCGCCGCGGCCTCCCCTACAAGCGCTCCCTGCGCAACCTCGCGGCTCACTACCTCGGACACGTCATCCAGGACCGCACGGATGGCCACAGCTCCAGCGAGGACGCCAGCGCCTGCATGCGCCTGGTCATCTGGAAGATGGGACAAGACGCTGAGACTCAGCGCTGACCGCAGCCCAGCATGTTGTGGACAGGACTAGGACTTTGGAAAGTGCTTTGTGATCACATATATCTCTTGCCCCACATGTCTAACAATAAAGGAATGGTTCAGTAAACTATAGTATATCTGTTGTGTTATTTGTCATCATGTTATTTCCTATGGACCGCCATGGCTCTGGGTTTCATTGGGATCCAGGAACCTGCCTGCGTTGCCGGCTCTACCCCCAAGGTGGGGCATGCACGAGGTGGCAGCCAATCAATGATTCTCTCATCGTTGATATATCTCTCTCCCCCCCCCCCCTTCCTCTCTGAGATGTAATTTTAATATATATATTTTAAAATCATAACAATGATAAAATCTAATTAAACTTAACAGCCCTGTCCAGTTACCTCAATGGTTGGAGCATCAGCCCACTGATCAAAGGGTGGAGGGTTCCATTTCCGCTCAAGCGCACATAACTTGGTGGTGCTTTTGACCCCCAGCTTCCAGGCAGGGTGCGGGTGGGAGGCAACTTTCTGTCTTTCTCTCCCTCTCTCTCTCTGTCTACCTCCCCCCTTCCCTTTCCACTCTGAGATATTATTTTAATAGTAGTAGCCCAGTGCACCAAATTCCTGTACATTGAAAGGGAATTCTTTAACAGAAATATTTTAATATTGCTATTTGCCCTTTCTCTATAATAGAAGTGTGAGAGATGAAAGGAAATTAGTAAACTGTATATGAAAATAATATATAAATTTATTAATAAATAAACAGTAACAATCTGATATAACAACAGAGGCATGATATAAAAACGACAAAAACATGATATGAAAACAGCAGTGATGCAAACAATGACTCATAAAGTGATTAAACTTATTCTAAAATCTCCATGTACACCACGTTAAGAGTGAAAACACTTTCAGAGTGCTCGACTAATTCCCCTTGTGCTGAAATATTTAGAACTTTAACTTTAACATCACATGCTCTTTGAACTCGAGAGAAAGCAACATGTAACTGACCATGTGCAAAAACGGGTTCAGGTCGGAATATGCCTACTCTGTCTAGAGTTTGTCCTGGTGATTTATTAATAGTCATCACAAATGCTGGCATCATGGGAAACTGTCGTTGAATCAATTTAAATGGGAGGCCAGTGTCAGATGGGGAATCAGAACAACCATCTCCATCTGCAGATCCTGTTAATACTGCAGCTTTGATAAGGTCAGGTGGTAATCTTTTGATAATAAATCTGGAACCATTACAAAGACCCCATTTACTATGAAGATTTCTCAATAGCATGATGATTGCACCCACTTTCAATTTTCATTTATGACACCGCATTCCCAAAGGAGTAATACTATTAAGAAATTCGATGGGAAAATTTTGCTTTTCAGCATCACCTGTGGAACCAATGGAATCATCACTCAAATATGTGTGAAAATCTCCATTGAGTATACCCACAATTTCTTCATTTAGTTTTTGAACGTGCTCATTTTTTGGACAAAGAATTGCACATTTAGATATATTTTTAATATTATCTATAGATATTGTCTTTCCAAAAGTAGCTTCAATAATAGATCCATTACAAATCATTTCACAGGGGATTTCAATAATATCCATTCCTAAATGAAAACTGCTATCAAGTTTGCCATCTCCAAGTAAGTTTTACTAACCATCCACTATAAGCAGAATCCTCTGATCTCATATTTGTTGTAAGAGACAACTTTCTGAAACATCCCCAAACATTGCAGTACTTTAAACTCGCTTGTACTATGGCTGATCGCATAGCATGCAGTACAATACTGAGACATTGTCGAAAATCCCCTCCAAGAAGGAGAACTTTCCCACCAAAGACAACATTCAACTTTCTCCTAGTAATCTGTCTATGGCGTGTATAGCATGACTGGATCTCATGGTGCATTCATCAATAATGAGAAGTTGGGCCTTCTTAAGAGTTTTAGCAACTTCACTGTTGTATATCAAGTCTAGAAATTGCAGTTTTACTTAGAGGACTGGGTAATTTATAGTGGGAATGAAAGGTGCTTCCACCGAGAAGTAAATTTGCAGCAATTCCTGTAGATGCTGTGGGTAAAACAGTACTACCATGACCTCTAATATAATGTATTAAAACTTTATAAAGATATGCCTCCATACTCCAAGGGCCGGTTCCTCCCTCAAACCTCACGCTCCCAGGAAATGGCTCAAGGAGGGTGCAGCCCTTTCCAAGATGACCCCTGCAAGACTGACTTCCTTCTGGTTGGTCAAGCCTCTGTCATGACGTTACACCCAGGGTTTCTATTATATAGGATAAAACAGGGGTGGGCAACCTTTGTGTGAGTGTGTGCCAAAACAAGCAAAATCTCTGACTCAAAATTCTTCTGCGTGCCAACCCTAATTCTTTGAGAACATTTTACACCTACTTGATATCTCTTAAGGTGTATGTATGTGAAGAACCTTGAAGAAATAATAAAATTCATTTGAGAGACAAAAACACAGTATATGATGATGAAAGATACATTTATTTTTTAATGTATACATGTGCACTGATAGTCCGACAGAAAACTTTGTAACTCCGTTTGATATTATCAGTGGGACTTTTGCTGCTGCATCACTGATGACAGAGATTTTACATCAGGTTTATATTTCGTGACCCTCAGAGATATTCACGAGCTACTACTTTCATCCGTCAGGCTACTCCTATTATGAGGCTTAACAAAATTCATCACTGAGAACAAAGATTCACAAGCATATGTGGATGAAACCAAAACACTGGTCAGATCTAGCAAGGCAGGGAGAGTTAAGGCAGAGGTATAGAAATTGCTCTTCCCCTCTCTCGTCAATCCATGTCTATGGTCTTTAAGATAACTTGTTATGTAAAATTGTTTATTTATCTAAGATGCACCTACACGGAATTTATCTGAAAAATAAAAAAGTTGATATTAAGAAAATAATTGAGAATTAATATACATTTTAGGGAGAACCAAGATGGCGGCATAGGTTAACGCCGGAGTTTGCTGCTTTGAACAACTACTTCAAAAGTGAAACCAAAAAACGGAAGGGACATCACCCAGAACCACAGGAACACTGGCTGAGTGGAAGTCCTACAACTAGGAGGAAAGAGAAACGCATACGGACACTCAGAGGAGGCGCAGTGCTGAAGTCAAATTCTGAGGTGCGGAGTGCGGGGAGCGGGCTGGCGGCGGAGGGCGCGGTTGGCGTTTTCAATCGGGAGGGAGTCGCAGACTCTGAGCTCCAGATACAGGCGAGTCTTTAGGGACCCAGACTCAAACAGGAGAAGCGGGACTGTCTGGCTTCGGTCAGAGCGAGTGCAGCTTTCTCTCTGAGCTTTGCAGCGGGTGCTGGGACTCAGAGAGGCAGAGCCCCTGGGGACAGGACTGAGAGCCGCCATAACTGCTCTCTCCGGCCCACCCTGTTGATCCTGTGCGACCCGCCCCGCCCAAGCCCTGCACACAGGCATTTGCCGGATAGCCTCAGGCAAACGCCAGATTAGCACCTCCCTAGAGGACAGAAGTTCTCTCACTGCTGACACAGCTGATTCTCATAGCCACTTGGCCTGGAGGTCAAACCCTCCCTGGAATTAGCTACAACAATCAAGATTTTACTATAAGACTGCGAACAAAGACCACTAGGGGGTGCACCAAGGAAGCATAACAAAATGCGGAGACAAAGAAACAGGACAAAATTGTCAATGGAAGATATAGAGTTCAGAACCACACTTTTAAGGTCTCTCAAGAACTGTTTAGAAGCCGCCGATAAACTTAATGAGATCTACAAGAAAACTAATAAGACCCTCGATCTTATATTGGGGAACCAACTAGAAATTAAGCATACACGGACTGAAATAACGAATATTATACAGACTCCCGACAGCAGACCAGAGGAGCGCAAGAATCAAGTCAATGATTTGAAATGCGAGGAAGCAAAAAACACCCAACCGGAAAAGCAAAATGAAAAAAGAATCCAAAAATGTGAGGATAGTGTAAGGAGCCTCTGGGACAGCTTCAAGCGTACCAACATCAGAATTATAGGGGTGCCAGAAGATGAGAGAGAGCAAGATATTGAAAACCTATTTGAAGAAATAATGACAGAAAACTTCCCCCACCTGGTGAAAGAAATGGACTTACAGGTCCAAGAAGCGCGGAGAACCCCAAACAAAAGGAATCCAAAGAGGACCACACCAAGACACATCATAATTAAAATGCCAAGAGCAAAAGATAAAGAGAGAATCTTAAAAACAGCAAGAGAAAGAAACTCAGTTACCTACAAGGGAATACCCATATGACTGTCAGCTGATTTCTCAACAGAAACTTTGCAGGCCAGAAGGGAGTGGCAAGAAATATTCAAAGTGATGAATGCCAAGAACCTACAACCAAGATTACTTTATCCAGCAAAGCTATCATTCAGAATTGAAGGTCAGATAAAGAGCTTCACAGATAAGGAAAAGCTAAAGGAGTTCATCACCACCAAACCAGGATTATATGAAATGCTGAAAGGTATCCTTTAAGAAGAGGAAGAGGAAGAAAAAGGTAAAGATACAAATTATGAACAACAAATATGCATCTATCAACAAGTGAATCTAAGAATCAAGTGAATAAATAATCTGATGAACAGAATGAACTTTTGATTATAATAGAATCAGGGACACAGAAAGGGAATGGACTGACTATTCCTGGGGGGGGAAAGGGGTGTGGGAGATGCGGGAAGAGACTGGACAAAAATCGTGCACCTATGGATGAGGACAGTGGGTGGGGAGTGAGGGCGGAGGGTGGGGCGGGAACTGGGAGGAGGGGAGTTATGGGGGGAAAAAAAAGAGGAACAAATGTAATAATCTGAACAATAAAGATTTAATTAAAAAAATATATATATACATTTTACACTCAAATTTCTCCAGTTATCCCAATGAAGTTCTTTAATCTGGAGTAGTTCCTCAGCCTTTCTTTGTTTTCATGTCTTTGACATTTTTTGAAAAATACAACATAAGTGTTTCATAAAAAAAAAAAAAAAAGAAAATAATTGAAGGAGAAACCAAGATGGCAGCA